AGAGAGAAATATGGAAGGCAGCAAATGCATGATGGCAACTCACAATTATGCTCTCCCTGAAAGATGTATTCCCCTCCTCAGACAAGCTTCTGACTGTACTGTTTACTTAATAGTGCACCAGTGTCAACTCATCCTTTTGCCTACACTTTTAGAAACAGAAGGCATTTTGAAAGCCAACAAGTGTAAGTGGTGAAATAAAGTAAAGCCTAAAAAGGTGAATGTGTGTGTTATTCTAAAAACAAAAAAACAAAACCTTTACAGTACACTTATTTAGTACATTTAACATCCATGTCATCCTGTACATTACAGAAATCATACATCTGCACTTATTATTCTACATCAGTTTCCTGTTTTTCTACGTCTGCTGTTCCTCCTCCTCCTCCTCCTCCTCCTCCTCTCCTCCACACAGTGTACTTAAAAACACACTTAAATACTGCTTTGGAAGTGCTGACATTCATTAATTTGGCCCCACAGATATACAACCCAACAAGACCCCCACCTTAAGTTTTGGTCTCATGAAAGAGATGGAAGGCACACAATTCATCATTAACTCCCTCTTCTACACAGAATAGCTTCTGAAGACATTTGATCTTCAAACTCTATTAATGCTCTAACATACATTGGACTGAGATAAAAGCCAGCCATGTACATAACAGATGCTCATCCCTGCCCCCGCAGGCGCTGCATGCTGAGCCGATGCTCCCTAAATTCCTCCTACAAATGCCAGTCTAACAGGATTCTAGTCCCTGGGACTTGGCAGCAACAGAAGTCTCACTACCCCTTAAGCATGCTGTGTCCTGTATGGAGCATATGCCACACCCAGCAGTATAAGCACCATGTGGTAAAAAAAAGAGGGAGGGTTTTGAGAATCCAGTGAAGTAGCCACTGCTGGGAACACAATGCAGAAGAGGTAGATAACAAGAGGTGGCCCCAAGACTACTAGGTGGACTTTAAAAAACAACAACACCACAGTGAACAACAGGGATAACACCATAGCCAGAAAGACTAGAATAACTGGAGAAGTATGCATATCTCAAAACCCCACTCTCCCATGTGTCATCTCCATAGTGCTTCTTGTTTTGAAGCAGTGTGTTTAAGACTTCTCCCACTGAATTCTAGGGGAACATTGCCTAGTCAAGCCATGGGCATAGTTTGAGTCATCCAACCCTTTTGAACAAATCTTTTATAGCTTTTGGGGAGGCCCTTCCTTCTCACACCATTCTCATGTTCAGCTGCAATGCAGGGGCTTAGTGTTATAATTCAAAGGGAGAAGAACAACTTTTGAAAGCCAAGTTAACAGCCTTTTCTAAAAATAACATTTTTAAAGCACAACTTGTGGCTAAGTAAATGTTTGATGGGGGGAATTGTCTTTAATATACAAACTAATTTATTGGCGCTTTTGTAAGACATCAAGACTATATACAATCAGTTCCTTATCTTCCCCCCAGGAGTCCTTATTCAAGACAGATGTCCCATTTTACAGGTAATCTTTGTGCAAGAAGGCAGGTAAGGGTTTTATTAATCCAGACTGACTTTGGGGGAAAAACAGTAGTCGTTCCCCATGGCAAAGAGGCACGATGCTTAAAGTCAATCGTATGGCTTTTAGTTTCCCCCCCCCCTTTAAAATGCAGCGAGAACTCATGATGTCCAGAGACAGGAGAAAAGTATTTAAGTTCAGCTTGTTCATGCATAGAATTCTTCTTGTTTATGTGGTTTTTGATAGCCTCCATTTGACTGTTTTGGCTCATCCAGTGAATAGCTTCCTTCATCTTTTTTCTTCATTCTGTACAGCATGAATCCAACTAGGAACCCAGCAAACAGCAAGCCTACTAGTCCACCAGCAATGACCCCTGTGGAAAAGGAAAGGATTATCTTGTTATTGCCATTATGAAAATTTTAAACTTATCAAGGCATTCTTTCCCTCCTGCAATGAGACAACTGCTTCACCAAATACTAAATGTCATCTGGGAGAGAGACACTAGGCCGAGCACCATCAGGCCTAAAATAAGAAGAAGAGCCCTCCCTCCATTACCATCTGATGTCATCTGGGGGAGTGACACTAAGCCCAGCACCACCCAGTCTAAAATAAGAAGAACTCTTATTTCTTAAAGGATGGGTGGGATTCGGGATGTTATATTTTGTTTAATGGAAATTGTAATATTGTAAGCCACCCCGATTGCTCTGCAGAGGGGTGGGATATAAATAAAAAGTATTATTATTAAAGTATTATTATTATTATTATTATTAAAGGGGTGCCACCTAGGAAGCTGTTTATGTGGTTGAAGCCTACTACCTAGATCAGGGGCTGGGATCATCAGCCCCTTTAGCTGTTCAACTATCTATGACCACTGGTCATGCTGGCTGGTTCTCATGGAAGCTGGAGGTCAAAAATATCTAGAAGGGCACAACTACTCCACCTTTGGCTTAGACAAAGCACTGAACACTAGAAGAAATAACCATTCGGGGTGAATTTTTCCTTCAACTGTTAAGAATCAGCCATGCTCACATTCAAGTTTTCCCACAGTTGAGGCCAGCCTTTTATGCACATTATTTAAGTTTCTGACCAAGGGCAGGGGAGCCCTAACTAGGGGCAACAGAATCTCTGGTTCTCTCTCTGATTACTACCCACAGTTAACATCAGCAGGGAGAGACCATTTATCATGGGGAAGGCAAGTAATGTACAAGACAACCAACAATATTATTTCTGATCATTTGTCTTAAGATTAGCAGGACTCTCCTACTAGCCTTCAGATAGCTGGGCTTACCTAGGAATTTCTACATCTCAATGGGAATCCTGCAGGAGAAAGATTAGGGATACAATGCCGATGTCCAAATGCCCTGCAAATATGTTCAATGACTTGAACCAAGTGATATGAAGGGGACCCTACTGACCCATATCAATGAAGCTAAATTCTGGGTCCATCTTTCTTGCCAATGCCACAAATGCTACCCCTTTCATATCTTATACAAAGAAGAGGGCCAACTACAAAAAACATGCTGACCTTTTGTTCAAGTCTTTTATCCAACTACTGTGGCTGAAGCATAAAGCTGCTTGTTATTTGTTTTGAGCCTTAGAATTCAAGCTTAGGATATCCACTTGCTGCAGGCATCATTATTTTTAATGTGATATCAATAGTTACTGTGTAGCAAGAGTTTCTCAAATCTATGCTGTAACTTTATTGTAATATAGTAATCTATATTATGCAGAAAAGAATTCTGGCAGTTCAAAGACACAAGGAAAGTACGCCAACACTCTGTGTGGGAAAATATAAAAGCTCCTTTTACTTACCTCCTAGAACTTCTTTCCTGTCCAATATTCCTTGTGGCGCTCCTTCAGATTTCTCATCCTTTGGTGGTATGTCCATTCCTCTATTATTTAGTGAAGACTCTACTTCTATTACTGAGCTTTCATCAGGTCGTGAAAAGACAAAATCTCCCTATATGCAAGAACAAAAGTATCATTTATATTTTCCCTCCTTAGCTTCAGAGGACACACATTTTCATGCAGTTATGAATTCTGATGGAGGCAGGCCTATTCTAAACTAATTCACAAATGCCATCCAGTCAAGCATCCAGCATCTGCATTTAAAAAACAGTTTAGCTTTATGGTACAGATCAATGGCCAAGTTATACGTATAAGTGTTTATTCTTACCTCATCACCAGAAGCATCTTCGGATTGTATCACCTCTCCTTCAGGCAGAGAAGAGATAGCCTTCTGGGCAGTAGATGATGCTGTAGGAGGACTAGTGGTATATGGAGTTGTCTCACTAGGAGGTATAATATCAGAAGCAGGTATATTTTTATCAGGGCTAGGTATGTGATGGACATCATGGTAGACCTTAGGCTCCAGTGTTTTTAATGTGCCAGAAGCTTGAGAGGTTGTAATTCTGACTGTGGAGATGTAGTGGGTGACTGTGATACCTGTTGTTGCAGCTGTGGGTCTTGTCGTCACTTGCTCAGAAAGTGAGTGCAGGCTATCTTCATCCACTTCTCTTGGCTTGCCTGGCACCATATCAATAACTGGGAATACAGCCATGCTTGTTGAAGATACAGGTACTGTTGTGTAGTCTTCTGTAGAGCTATCTGTACTCTGAACTTCAGGCTGTTTATCTCCCAAGTCAGTAGACATCAGTGATGTGTTTGAGGTTTCTTGTAGTGGAACATTCCAAGCAACCACTGGATGGTCTGGCAAAGGACCTAAAAAGCAAGGCTTATTTTAGCAAACACTCAGGAAGTCCTGTAAAAGGATCTTGCATAAGACAGCTCAACCAACAGCTGCAGTAGTTTGAGAACATTCGCTTGAAAGCTCAACAACATCCTACGGGTACAATGACATTCCATCCCAGCATTACAAGAATATATATGTGCATGTGTACATACACATACTCTGGATAGAGACTAATACAGTTTTAACAACTATCAGATGATCTGTTGATCACTATTAAAAAATAATAATTTTCTAAAGAGAGAAAATCTCTATGAATCATTCCGTTTTTAAAAGGTCAAAGTCGCTTTATTTAGGACCATAGGATAGTTACTCTTTTGGACTACAACTCCCAGAATTCTCTAGCCATCAGAGAATTTGGAAGTTGTGATCCAGGAAATTAACTTTTCCAAGTTCTGGAATGAGGATGGTCCCAAAACGGCTTTGGCATAAACTAAATTGATGACCGTGGACATGCCAGTCCCCAATATGCAATACAAAGGTAGCACACTCCCGAGTTTCTTGTAAGGGCTTAAAAACTAAAGAAATCTAGGTCGAATTCAGCATTTAGGCATGAAGGACATGGGATAACCAGCAGTGACCACTCTTCAGTCCAACATACCTCAGAGGATAGAAGAGCAGGGGGAAAGGAGAGAGCCATACTCACTATCTTAGCTCACCTGAGAAATTATGGTACATAAATGTAATTAAAGCCATATAGAGTACTTTCATAGAAACTGGATTCTATATAGGTTCTAATGCTGTGTGTTGCTGCTATTAAAAGTGTGTTTCCCGTGTGGTGTAGTAGTGGTTTGAGCACTGGACTGCAACCCTGGAGACCAGGGTTCGAATCCCTGCTCAACCATGGAAACCCACTGTGTGACCTTGGACAAATCACACACTCTCTGCCTCACAGGAAGGCAAAGGCAACCTCCCTCTGAACAAATCTTGCCAAGAAAACCCCATGATAGTGTTGCCTTAGGGTTGTAATAAGTTGGAAACAACCTGAAAGCACACAACAATATAGTCTTTTAATGTTTAAACTTTGTAAACTTTTTAACCACTTTTAAAGTACCTCTTATATTTATACTTTTATTAATTACGTTGTATAGCTTTTAATCTGCATTGCTTTTAAATATATTGTTAGCTGCTTTGAGGTCCATTATTGAGAGAAAGGTGGGATACCCCTGAATAAAAAAGTAACAACTATTTTTAATGAGTGTATAGCTTTTGGTATCTTGTTAACCATACATTTTACACATACATAGAGAAGGAGACAGTTCTAGTAGTTAGCAGGGGCTTTGTTCACAGCTGAGTAAACATCAATTTAGGCATACCTGCACCAGAGCCAGAAAAAGTGTCATCGTCATCACCTGATGAGTCCAGATCTTCAGGAGGGACACTGGTATCAGCTGGTTGCTTTAGAATAAAAGAACAAGGGAAATTTTAAGATACACCTAGTTTTAATGTACAGGAAACATATTACTTCATACTTGCAAAATGTCCGCCATTATTGCCAAGTGGGGCACATGAGGAGGAAAGGGTTTTATATTGCCAAGAGGGCTCAATACAACTGTGTTCTGTGAAAACCAACAGCATGTAGATATCCACGGACAGCCCCTTCCTCTCTTCCCCCACCCCCAAAAATCTGTGCCCTCCAACTTCTAGGAGAGAAGGTGGGCTTTACTAGCAAATCAAGTCTACTATCATATATAGAGACCTACAAGTTATATAGACCTACAAAATGAAGACAAGATTGATGCATAGCATGCACACTGAAAAATAGTAACATGTGGAAGCATATTTTAGTGGCACTAAATTAAAAATATTTTTGTCTAAGATCCAGATACTAAAAAGAATGGGAATGATACAAGGGAGAGACATGGCTCTGTATACTGAAGTGCTTATTTATACATTTTAAAAGAACAACCAATTTCTTTCCATGGGTTCTTCCCATTATATGGTGTAAGGCAAGGGTAGGCAACCTTTTTAAGCCGTGGGCCGAATTGCTGACCCTCAAACAATCATGGGGGGTGTCAGGGGGGCGGCGGCAGGACCGGCCTGGGGCCGGTCCAAAGGCCTCAGGGGGGCCGCATCCGGCCCCTGGGCCTTAGGTTGCCTACCCCTGGTGTAAGGGGCTATGCAGTGGAAAAAAATTAAATGCTCTAACGAAATCATGGAATGACTCCATGGAAAGCAATTCCCATGCTGCTATAGCCATTATCCCTAAATAGTACTTGAAGTTTTGTGGAGCTTGAATTTGCTTGCCAAAATTATTATGTGGGAAGAAATGCATTTAGTGACAAATAGACACATATGGTAAAAGAAGAAACTACTTACAAAAAGGACTAAAAGAAAGGATCTCCTAACACCATAAATTACTCCCTGGCACTACCTGCAAATTTTCAGGATTTTGTAGCCATGACAGTCTCTGATAATATTAGATCAACAACAAAATTCCCACAGTTTCATATCAGGTAGGATGAAGTTGGAAACAATCTCAAAGATTATGTTGTTCAACTCCCTGGTGATGCAGTAAATTCACTACAGGTTATCCAGACTCTACTTTAAAATGTCTAACAAGGGACTCCACCTCCTTCCAGTGCTGTTTGTTCCTATCTATCAAATGCAGTTCATGCCATTTAAGTTCTTCCTAATGTTTAGCTTAAATTGTTTTCCCTATAATTTGAAACTATTGATTCAAGTCCTTCCCTCTGAAGTAACAGAAAAACAAATCTGTTCCTTTATCTCTGTGACAGCTTTTCAATGTTTGAACATCATCTGCTAATCTTATTTTCTCCAGTCTAAAAACACAATTATTTCAACCTTTTCTTAGGACTTGGTCTGTTGGATCTTTTACCATTTCTGTTGCCTCTCCTCATCCCAGCTTGTCCCAAGTATGGAAAAGGTTACTTTTATGAACTGTAACTTTCAGATTTCCCAGTCAACATTTTCACTGAATTCTGGAAGTTTTTAATTCAAAAGAGTTCAACATCAATTTCTGCACTTGTTGATATTCTTGATCTGGATACATTGCTCTACCTAAGGTCTTACCAAAGTAGATCAGACCTGGGCCATTATTTCTCATTATCTGGGATATTAGCCATTTGAAGCAATAAGGATCTAACACCAATATCCCTTATATACACAGCATGAACTAGAAATAGGCTTACAATAATGATCAAATACTTGCTAAATAATGAGTCTTTTCACTACCAATGAGATAAATAAATAAATAATTACCATTAGTATTGGGCACCACAATTGCAACACACTGCCATGGACCTTCATTTAGACAGGTGACTAAGGACAGTGTTATAGGTGCATTTTGGATCTTCTAGTCATGCTGTAAGGCTCTGTTTTTGGCTAGCACTGCAGAATGACAGGTTAGGTTCCCCTATAATGTGAGCCTCTCTCTGCATAATGCTCTCCAGAGAAACACATGCAGAACTCTCATGCAGAGAGGTTGGGCTACCAACTCTCTCTCTCTCTCTCTCTCTCTCACTGCACCTTTCCATTTTGTTTCAGCTATGTCAGCGTATCATTTAATCAGCTTTCCCACCCTTAAAAAGAACAGGGTGAGTAACTTTGTTTGCTCCAGCAAGAAACTAAACTTGCCTTCCACACTTTAGTCACCAGCCACTGAAGAGAAGAATCAGAGATGAGATGAGCTAAAAGTACCAGTACAAGCACATGCATGCTATCTGAACAAAGCTGTTCCCACATAAACGTAGTTGCAGTCTTGATTGCTGACACTTTCATTGATTGTATCTTCCAAAATATGCTTGAATTCTTTTCAACAGGATTTCTATCTATTTTTGCCAAGACACATTTTCCCAGTGAAGGGATATGAATGTTTCCCAAGTGCTCTAGGAACGATGTCCCACAAGTCCACTGGCAAGCCACATCATCACTACTACCATGCTGCTGCCAAATTTTAGTGGGAATATTGACTTAAAATATTGCCTTAAATCAGCAAGAAATGCTTGTTCTAAAGAGGAGTGCCACTGAGTTTTGGCACTGCAATTTATAAGAGAGGCTGCAAACACAGCCTTAAAGGGTTGCATGAATCCTGTGGCCCATGTGTTGCCAGCCCCTGCACAGGTTCTGCTCAATTCATACTGAGTACATAACCATGTGTCAGTACCACTGCTCTGACGGTGCAGATTTCATTCACACTTGCACAACTCTTCCTCAATCTTAGCTTAGGAGGCAACAGGTGTGCATTATCTCATGTCAGTGTCCCTACCCTACAGGATTTTCAAAGGGGATGCCAACGCCATGTTAAATGCTTTAGGCAAGTTACATGTGCATGCACAAACAATCCAGCTTGCATCAGAGAAAGCAGAGCAACTTGGAATCCTGAAATGGAAAACTGGGATCTGCCCATGTGGAAAGAGAAAGACCAAGTTCCAAGAAGAATCCTTCCTCTAAACCCAGTTTTAGTATTGTGGTATCTTGTGGTTCTGAATGCTAGTAGAAGGTGTGCTGGAGCCATTTTAGATCACAGTGACTAATTATTCATCTTCTCAATCCAATGCTTATTAGTTTTAAAGGATTAAGAAAAGAGCTTAAAAAACTACATTATTTTAGTTACACGAACCATGCAATAGGAATTCTATTACAATCACTTTCATGTAGAATCTTGTTCAATGCAGGTGTGCATTTTGTAAAAAAACCAAAAAAAAACACCTCTCTTAATAATGGATATAGATAGCTATAGGGTAAATCTCCAAGGTGACAGTATAGGCTTACCATCTTCTCATCAGGTAGCCAGAAGTGCTTGTTACCTTGCACCTCCAGGCATTTTTTTACTTATATCTTAAAAAGAGAACACCTTAAAAGGCAGTCTTGTGGGTTCTAAGATTGTGTGTTAAATGCTGATAAGCAGAAATCTTAGCCAGTAAGCTTCTGCTATCTGACAATTTACTTTTCAAGCCTTGGGGTCTATTTATTTATTATTTTTTCATGGAAACTATTCAAATCCCAACAAAAATCCATCAGTGATACCTTTATTGGCCAACTGAAATGCACAA